AAGGAAAAGAAAAGAAAGAAAGAAAAAGAAAATCAGAGGTATAGAAAGAAAGAAAGAAAGAAAGAAAGAAAGAAAGAAAGAAAGAAAGAAAGAAAGAAAGAAAGAAAGAAAGAAAGAAAGAAAATCAGAGGTATACAGACTGAGGCATATTGACCCTAGAAGGAAAGAGATGCAGAAATATCCATCAGCTACCTCTGGGCCTGCCTGCCCCGTGGTCTCTATGTGTTTTATTCTCTCTTGGTCTTTCTCCACCCCTTTTCACTTCAGTCCATTATGGTTCTGGCTGGTAGAGGAGGTACGCAGGTTGGGGTGGCTCTCCTTCCCTAGCCCCTAACTCCCTAGAGAGGCTGGTGGTTCTGGGGCTCCTAGGAAAGCCAACCTTTCCCTTGTCAGAGCATCAGGAAAGAAACAACCTGCCTAGTCCTAGGATTTCCATTTCCTTTCTCTCTCCTTTTCCTCCTACTCCCCTGGACTCAGGTGAAAAATCTCAGGGGGCAAGCTACATTTGAGGGAGGGGAGGATGTGAAGAGGGCTTCCTTGAAGCAGAAGGCTCAGAGAAGAGAGAAAAAAAAAGAGATATTTTAAGCAAAGTAAGCTGAGGACAAGGAGAGCAACTCTCTGGCATCATACCTGGTCCACAGTGGGGCTCCCATCAACATCTGTGGATTTGAAGGAGAGGGTGCAAGAATGGTTAGGGAATGAGGGATAACTAGAGACAGAGAAAGAATTGGGAGGGGAAACTGGAAGAGAGAGTATTAAGGAAGATAGAAAGAGAAGGAAATGCTAATTAAAAGAGAGGTATGGAGGAAGAGAAGATACAAAGAGAAATAAAATGAGACACTTACATAGTATTTAGTGTGTGCCTATATTATTCTAAACACTTTACATGTGTTAAATTATTTAACCCTCACAACAACCTTATGAAGTGGGCTCTATTATTATTCCCAATTGACAAATGAGGAAACTGAGGCATAGAGAGATTAAGTAACATACCCAAGGTCCTGCAGCTAGCAAGTGGTGGGTATCAATTTCAAGCAGTCTGGCTCCAAAGTCCGTGTTCCTAACCATTGCACCATACTCTCCAAAGAGGTATAGGGCCCCAAAGTTACAACAGAGACATGTTTGCTTTCTCCAGAATGGTAGTTCGAGTCTTGGCTCTATCACTTATAGCTACGTGACCTTAAGCTGGTCACTTAACCTCAGTTTTCTCATCTGTGAAATGGGAATCATAATTCGTACTTCATGGGATTGATGTGAGGGTTAAATGAGGTATCTAGCCCAGTTGTGGTGCTTAATGGTCACTTCTCAGCTTAGGAGTCCTTGCTGCCAGGAGTCCTAAAACCATCGTTCACCTTGGAAACTCAGTTTATCCTTCCCTGGAGAGTTTCTCTGAGGCTGCCTAAGCATCTGCCCTGCCTCTTCCCTTGTGGGGCCTGAGCCAGGGCAGTACAAATCCTCGTAGCAGAGGGAAGAGATTTCAATTGATAGAGGGCCATGGGCTTGGAACGTCAGTGATCATTCTCTCATCCCTCCTTTTCTTTGCTTTCTTCCTAGGACTCTTGGAGATCCAGTGGGCAGGCCAGAAAGGGCGGGCACGGAGCCTCCCAGGCCAGGGCATCAATGGGCATGGGCAGGGGCTGTGGCTGAAGACCTCACCAGCCCACTGCAGACCCAGACCCCTGAGGATTCAGCCTCCCACACCGCGGCTGCCATGGCCACCAATAAGGAGCGACTCTTTGCGGCTGGTGCCCTAGGGCCTGGATCTGGCTACCCAGGGGCTGGCTTCCCCTTCGCCTTCCCAGGGGCACTCAGGGGTTCTCCACCTTTTGAGATGCTGAGCCCTAGCTTCCGAGGCCTGGGCCAGCCTGACCTCCCCAAGGAGATGGCCTCTCTGTGTGAGTCTCATGGATCTTGGGGGATGAGGGCAGGTGGAAACAGGAAGACATTTGGAGGGTGGTTGATATAGAAAATTGGCACCCCAGTTAGAAAGGCAGGCAGGGCGGAGGTTAGATCTAATGGAGTAGCTGACAAGAGTGGCTAGGAGGGGATTTGGATATGGAACAAATGGAAGTGTTTGCAAATGAGAGCTCTCCTGCCCAAATAGGATGGGAAAGGAGCATGCCTATATTTTGGGGATCTAATATTGCCTCCTGAGTGAGTCAACTACCCTGTTTCCCCGAAAATAAGACCTAGCCAGAAAATAAGCTGTAGCATGGTTTTAGTGCCAAAATATGGCACCTTGGCATATTGAATATTTTAAGCTGAAGGAGTTTGTGGAAAAGGCACCCTTCTTCCTGAAACAGGTCATAACACCATCATGTGAGGGGTGTGTGCCCTCCATATCCTGGAGGAATCATGCTACGGCTTCTTTTCTGGCTAGGTCTTATTTTCGGGGTAACACAGTAGCAAGGGAGAACACCTTTGTAAGGGTAGCAAACGGGGGTTCTCCTTAAGTCTGAGGCTGCTGCTGGCCTGTAGTGGGGGGGTGCAGGGAGCCAGGCTGGGAAAAGGAGGAGTCTGGGAGGCCAATCACTTGACTCTGTGATCAAGAGGTGAAATTGTTCAGAATTAGGGAGGCTGCAAAAAGAGGAATGGCATCTGGTGCCAGGTGCCCAAAGATGTGTGGGGTCAGGAAACTCTCCTGTTGTTCTGGAAAGGGTAGAAATTGCTGCAAAGAAGGTGCCTCTTGCACCAAAAGTAATGCAGGGAGGTGGAGGCGGTGTTCCAGAAGCATCCTTTATTCCAGCCATGTGGGTTCTGGACTCCTCCCCTCCTTCTAGGTCTGGCGTGGTGCCCACGTGCTGTGCAGATCCCTACTTGTCCCTCAGGCTTGCCCTGTTTGGGTTTAAGCCTTTGAGTGCTGACAGCAGGCAAGCCTTAGGCCTCTCCTCTTCCCTCTGGATCCCCTCTCCTCTCACTTGGTAGTTGTTCTTCCTGACCAGGTCATTATAGGTGTGGGTGCCCATGAGCTGGAGGGCTGGGATGCTAAGCTTGGTGGGATACAGTGTCAGTATGTGAGCTGGTGTAGAGAAAGCATCACCTGGAAAGAAGGGGAGGTGATGAAAGATGAGACAGAGAGGAGCAGTTTCAGAGAGACAGAAACAGATACAAGAGGAGAAGACACACACACAAAAAAAGACACATCATTTACAGCTCCACAAGCTTGGAGAGAGAGAGAGAGGTGGGAGAGAAGGGGCTAGGCCTTTGGGAGGGGGCAATTGGAAGGTTTTGTGTGTGTGTGTAAAAGGGTGACTAGACGGGGCTGGCAGCTCTACTGGAAAGAGTGTGCTCATCTGGAGAAGGCGCGTGTGCGTGCGCGCATGTAGACCATGTGCAGTTGTGTGTGCACAGCCTGTCTCTGAGCCTCTGCTCAGATACAGAATTCCAGTGTGTGCAACAAAGAGTCAGTGTGAGAAGTGAGGCGGGATTTAATAGGGCTGCTGACGGTGTGTCTGGTGTTTGGTGAGCCCTGCCTGTGGCAAGTCTGTAGTCCAACAAGGGTTATTTGGGTGGTGTGCAGGTGAACAAGAGAGCACAAAGCCCCCCTTTTTGGAAACCTTAGCTGGGCTTCCCCTACCTCATTTACACCCCATGAATCTGTCCTGGGGCCTGGGGAGGTGGGAAGGAACCACCATCCCCACATGAATGGACTTCTTACAGAGGACCATACAGCTCAGTATCCTGGCACCTGATTTTCCCTCATTCTGGGAGAGGCAACTAAAAAAGCGGGAGTAAGGAGGGAGAGGAGAAAGAGATTGGTAGTGGGGAGAATTCTGAGAGTCATAGCCAGAGAGTCCTCAGTGAAGTTCTCCTTGTGCCCCTGTGCCCCTAGACACATTGAGATCAAGGTCAGGGTTCAAAGCAAGGTCAAGGTAGGGAAGGAGTTAAACTGTGCTTTATCCTCTAAGGCTGTCATGAAAGAGGGGGGCTGAAAGGAGAAATCCAAAGGAGGAGCCAGAACCAGGGCAGGTAGCTGGGGAGGGTGTGGCTGGTGGGGGACACAGGCCTGGGCAGGGAGGCAGTGATGGGATGGGGAGGAGGGGAAGGCTTGGGTCTAGACGGCTTGAATGGGAGTGGGGCATGCAGCACCTAAGTAAATGAGAGGGAGGCAGAGGGGAGGAGAAGGGATCCTGGAGTCTGGGAGACCTCCCACAGTGGGAGATCAGCTGAAGGGTGAAAGAGTGTGGTCTCTTATTTCTCTGACCCACTGTCTCTTTTTGGCTGGGGCCATCTAATGGAGAGGGATTGGAGGCCAGAGTCTGATGCAAAAGCCACACTCACCTTGTCTTTCTCTGTCTCTGTCTGTTAGTCTATGCGCGGGAGGGTGGTCTATGAAGGAGCCTGGAACTTCTCCCTGGGGCTGGCTCCTATGCTGGGTCCCTAGCACCTTGCAGATATCCTGTTGATAAGGGAAGTCTTGTGCTGTCTCTTGGGGTTCTCCAAGGGCATGAAAGGGTGAGCCAGGATCTCAGAATTGTGTGGTGGAGGAGGGGAGAGGGAAGAGGAACATGTGCGGCCAAGGCAAGCACAGGCCTGTGTGCATGGAAAAGCAGAGGGGGGGTGTGCGTGCTCACACATGTGCATGAAACCCTGGTGCCTGTGTCCCTACTGGTGTGTGATATGTTTGCTTTATCAAGACTGCAGGGAACAGAGTGTGATGGGAAGGAAGGGAAGCCTTGCCCTCTTTCCCCTCTTGAGGTGATAGCTGTGGTCCTCAGGACCTAGCCCTTTTTGTCCTATGAACTTGGTGACAGTGTCCCTGGGGCAAGGAGCCCAGGCTGTACCACACTAAATCACATGGAGAAACTGAGGACAGGCTGGCACAGGAAGTAATAGAGTTCTACTTAAAATAAAACGAAAAAGAGACTCAGAGAGCTAGACAAGATGAGAAAGAACTAAACAGGCTGAAAGGCACAGACACAGAGAGAACCCAGACACTGAGAGAGGCAAGGAGAATAAGTAGGCTGGTAAGGGTGGCGAGCAGGCTGCAGCGAGGCCTCCTCCAGGAAAAAACCCCAGCCGACTGCCTCTTTCCCCTCCCCTCCCAGTCTCTCCTGCTCAGGCTTGGGCTCCAGCTCCAGGCCGACACAAACGGGGCTTTGATTGCAACAGGAAACCTCTCTGGCGGGGGGAGCCGGGCAAGCCGCCGCCACTGGGGCCCAGGCTGCACCCCCCCTCTCCTGGCCCCCTACCCAGTCCCAGCCCCCATCCTGCCAGTGTTCCTCACATCCCTGCTTTGGGCCTCATCCCTCATTCACACCTCTCTATTCCCCCCATTCTTCTGCTGCCCCCTCTCCCAGAGACCCCTCCCATTGCCCCTCAGGTGGGACTCCTAAGTTAGGACTTATCCTTGGTGTTGGGCCTTCTTTGCTTTGAAATGCCCCCTTTTCAGCTTTTTTGAGGGAAGGTTTTGGAAGAAAAGGCAAATTTAGCTTGAGGAATTTAGAGCCAGTTATCCTCAAGCCCCATCCAGAAGGTGGCAGGGAGGGGGAAGAAAGAGGGGTGCTTAAGGAGTTAGCTGTCCCTCCCTCCACAGTCCCTCGCTGGCCAAACTCATGCTTGCCAGGGTGGCTGAGGCTCTGAGGGGTGACCATGCAAGACTCGAGTGCTAATGGCCTAGTTAGTGGGGGCCGTGTGTACTTCTCTTTGCCTCTGGGGCCATGCCTTTGTGGGGCTGTTGCTGGGAGGGGTGCGCAGTGGTGGTGGGGATCATAGGGAAGGGGGTGAGTCAGGCAGCAGCCCCCCCTCATACTCCCACCAGGCTGGTGGAGAACATCTGTTTCCCATGAAATGCTAGAAGGCTAATGGGTCTAATTGCTGCAATAAGGGCTGGGGAGACTTTAGGGAAAAGAGGGGGCACTAGATTCCCCCATTCTGTTACCTTCTCCTCAAGGTTGTACTAAGACTGTCTAGAGTGGGGGGGGGGCTTGATGGGAAAGGTGGGTCTGATACCCTCATACCTGGTCCCTTATAAGGCCCCTTCTGCCTGCGGTGTCTGGGAAGCACACACAGATGGGGGTGTTGAGGAGTGGGGTGCATCTGGTGAAGAGAAAGGGGGGCTATTGAGGACTCATGACTTCCTGGAGCCCTCCCCCCACTCCTCCTGTGCCCAACTCTCAACCCCCCTCCCTGTGGCCTGGCCATTTCTGGTTCTAATTACCAACCAGGCAGGCCTGACTTAATTGGGACCTTTCAGATTTCAGAGGGGGAAG